AATGGGTTTAGGCTTTATTACGCTATGCATTAAAATGCAGCTGCTGTCATATTAAATTAAACGATGCCTGTTTTAAAATAAAAAACTATCCCATTAGGTCCTGAAGTATCAACTATGAGATGTCTGTTCAGTTACCCTGCAGTTTTAGATCCTGGCGGGGGAAGCTGTTACCTTTGTGATAGTGAGGACCATCCCCACCAGGAATTTATAGTCTTTGGTAAATCTTTCTGTTTCTTACTTCTCTCCTGCGCTAAGACCGAACAGCACATTTGCTAACACCAAGCCAGCAGTGTTGGAACAGCACCTGTGCGCAGTGTAACACCCACAAAGTCATCCCCACCAGCTAAAAAGCATTACAGCAGCCACTGGATCCAAATACTATTATACAGCACACATGGCTAAATTAGATGATGTAGTGGTTTGAAACTGAATCATATTCTACTACGGATTTCACACTTGCTATATCTGAGCAGCTGTACCAGCACAATTAGTAACTGCTTTCTTTTCATTCCTTTACAAGCTTTAGGACAGTGGATTGAGATTTAAACATGTACATCTTCCACTTCCATCACCATTCAGCCCTTATGAATGTTGTCATTTCAAGACTTGTAGATGTTTGGGCAGGTTCTTTTCCACCTTTATTGTTGGCCGAAGTTTGCAGTATAGAGACAGTGGTCAGGGACCTCATGTTTTAAAAGCAGAATTGTTATTAGCTAGCAATTACTCCTTATTGAACGGCAAAAATGTGTTTCATCAAAATTGTATTTGGCATCTGACAGGTAGGCAGAAATTTATCACTTGTCTCTCCCGTAACTGAAAGAGAAATTCAAATATATCAACACACCAAGAGGGGAAAACACTCCAAAAATAGAAAAATGGCCTCACCCTTGATGCATCAAAATATATCCTGAAATATACTTGCTTTATTAAAGCCATAAAGACTGTCAACAATTCTGAGGGCTGATCCACAGGGAGAAATTAAGTGGAGGCTGTTGTGACGCTGTACGCGAGGGAAGGTAGGGGAAGGGTGTCCATGAAACATGGAAAAGAGGTTGCTGCCTGAAGAAGGCAAAGAAGTGACAGAGATGTTTGAAACTGTGGCCTGTTATGAGACAACTGTAGAATAAGCACTTCTAAAGCTACTTAAATTTAACATAAATTTTGCGTTAACACACAACATTTTTTTGTTAACACAAAAAACCTCTTTGTAAAACTTCTCACCAGTAATTCTGTGCAGATCCCACCTGAGGTAATTTTTGACTTTTCCCAGCTTGTCCTTGTTTTGATAGCTTGCTTATTCCTATGAATTAGCTACAGCAGTTAAACTGCTATTTAAAAAGCACATAGAACAAAATTCCTCTTCACAAAAAGAAGGGAGAGAAGAGGAAAAATTGTTCCAAAAAGAATAGAAAATACTAGCCAGAGATGGATATGGTAAGTAACTAACTTGATAACATAACAGTTATGCTATTAGGATATGTATTGTTATTTATTAAGTAAACCTAAAAAAGGAAAGCCCTTTTAGCTGATCTTTTACATAGCTCAGAAACCTCATTCCAAGCACCAGGGAGTCTTATCCTTCCTTCACTTTTCAGATCAGAAGAACATGAAAAAAGCTTTGCATTACACTGTAGTGTTACATGATTATAGGATAACAGATGTAGCAAAGAATTAGTAGTAGGCAGTAACTGTCTTCCAGTCCCTGATGATGATCTGTAATTTTTAGGTACTATTGTATCAACATGTTCTGGAAGTTCTGCAATACTTAGGAGTCAAATTTCTGGAATACGTTTCTTAGATATCTGTTTCCATGCTTTTTGAAATAAATGAAGCATTCTGTTTAAGTTAACATTAAAAGGCAATTTTAACACAACTAAGATTCCTATCAAATCACACGGTTAAGAATCACAAGCTTCCCTCTTATACATAGTTTTGTAAGAATTACAGAAACAGGAGGGAGAGAGTTGTCTTCTTATCCAAATGCCTATTCATCACAAGTGAGAACACAAACTCCTATACCCAGTGCCTACAGGAATTGAGTGCTCCTCTATCAGGAGCGCTTGAGGGCTTTTCCTCTAAGCACAAATTTGGCAGCAAGTGAAAGGCTCTCCTGGATTTTTTAGCTGCACAACAGCAGATAAAAATCTTTCTTCTTTATAGATGTTTTGCAGGCAACTGTAAAAGTTCAGCTGAGTCTACAACACATCTTCCATGTAAAATGGTAGCATGGGATCTACCTATTACCTGCAACTGCCTTTCACAAACAGTTCCACCGTCTATACTCAGGTTGACGCTTCTGGCATTTGGAGATTTCAACAAAACAACAAATAGAATAATATGACAAGCAAGATCAGGTGGGAAACTGAAGTACCTACAAATTAGGACAAGTATTTCTAGTGAACTGAGGGTACGTAGGACATTGGCTCCTTTACAGTACCTTTGAGCTCTAAGATACTTTTCTAAGATATTTATTCCCTTACTAAGATAAGAATAAACAACATGACACAGTGACATACGTTATTGATCACAATTTGAAAAAAGTATATAGCTGAAAGAGAAGTCTTCACTCTATTAAGTAATGAGGTTTAGATTCCTAAATCATGCACTTTTGAGAATTTATCCTAATGAATGTTGCCTTTGATATCCAGGTAAAAAAGATACAAATTTTAGTATAAAATTATGCTACTCTGACAAAAAAACAGTTAATCCATCACAAGGATGGAAAAGTCCCTGCGTATGCTTTATTTCATTAGAATTCCAGTATTTAAGTAGAGATTCAGATATCTGACAGAAATGTTACATGGTCACCTAAAGCATTGTAATATAGCATGAGATGAAGAAACAGGAAAAAACATCATAGCACTTAGTGCACGGGCTTTGATGATCACCGACGTTATGCTCTAGAGGAACGACTCAAAGGATTGTACATGTTTGTACACCTATTAATTGTCCCACCTCTTTACAGATTTGCTATTGCTAGTGAACCCCAGCTAGGCTTCCTATGATCTCTAAAACCCATTCAGAGTCAATAATATCAAGCCAAAAATTCACCAGAAACTGAAAAAGAAAGTTACAGGTATAGAGCATCATCATGTAGATACTTAAGCCTCGTGCTCAAAAGTTTTCCCTTCAGTAATGACTGTATGATCGGGCCTTATGTTGTAAGATTTCTTTATACATCACAATTCAAAAAAGTTTAAGTTATTATTATAATGCAACCCAAACATACCACTCTTCTACTGAAGATTTTCTCATTTTCTATATGCACCCATCTGTCTAGAGCAGGTAACATACTAAGAGTGAGCTATTCAGCTCATCTTAATGTAAATTGCTCAGTACTGGAAAAATCCCCCACAGACCCTCTGTCTGAAACAGTCACTACAGGAATATTAACCTATTATCTTTCTAAGTCACTTTTAATTGTACCTAGTCATGGAACAATGGGGACACCAAGGATTATTTCATTTGTACAATTTTCCTGCACATTTACCACTTCAACCTGGGGGATCGCTTCAGTCAGCAGGACTGTTTTTTCTTTAATTATAGCCCCACCATCTTGCATGCTAAGCATACAGACAAGAGGAGCACTCTTCTTCAGATCACTTGAGCGTGCCAAAAGGAAAATATTTCAATATCGAGTGTTATTTCTTCTTAAATGAGTATTAAGAGAAAATTCTAATGAATTGGTCTTCACTTATACAATAAAGATGAGGAAAGTTGGGACCATTTCTATTTCAGGTGAGCCTTTATTAAGCAGTTTGCGTCCTCCTCTCCATCGCAGAAACTCATTAGATAATCAGACACAAGGTTATTTAAGGCTCAAGTTATGGAAACAGAATCAACTCTCAGTCACCTTCAGTAACATGTGATTAGGATAATCCCGATAACATAAAAAAAAAGAAAAAGAAAGAAAAAGTGCATTTGGGTCAGACTAAATGAAGGTATAATAGGAGATGACGATCAATGAATCTGCGGTTGTGGAATACTGCCCTAAGGATGTCCACATGACACAGTACTGTATGTAAGCAGAACACCATTACATTTGGACCCCACTAATTCATAAAAAGCCATGTTGAATGTCTGCATTAACAGACTTGTTAATCCACAGTCCACACAGTCCTTTCAAAATAAGGATTTATCCACACTCATGTCTTCCAGTTTCACCAATACACGCAGCATTTAAAAATAACGTTCACAAACACTTAAAAGACGTAACATCAGTTATACAAATGCTCAAAGATACATTATATATTGTCATTTAGGGGGAAAAAGATAAAAAATGAAATATGTTAAAAGCTGCTACACAGTGATACTAGAAAGTTTTACAGTGTTTTTTTCCTATATTGAGCAAAGCTTACAACAAATCGTGGACACAATATCTAAGAGAATATACTATCTTTTTTTCATGTATCAAATATTTGAATTATTTTGTAAAGTTATTAAAACACTATACTGATTATACAGTTCTCTGAACACATTTACAACTTGAAATGTGTTGGCTAGGTCTTAGTGGTCGAATAAACCATATTGATTACTTCCAGTCTTTGAAACAAACAACCCATCACATCATAAAAATTAAAATACAAGCGCTGAAAAGGACCACTTAAGACAAACTGGTGTTTCCTCTTCCAAAATACTGCACACAAAATATTACTTGCAAGCAAGTGAAGAAAAATATAAATATATAACAGTTTATTAATTTACAAACACAGGCAACAATTTAGGAACATTTTTCCTATACAAATCCAATGACATCGCAAGCTGCTAATGTATACTGATCTTCCAATAGCTTTTAGGGTGAACTGTAGAAACTGTCAACTTAAAGTTGCAGGTGGAAATTGGAATGTTTTCACTAAAGTGGTTCTAAAATTGCTAATAAAAATCCCTGCAGCTTAAAATATAACCTCATGTATTGTACCATAAGATGGTACAAAACTGAAATTGGGGCTGCACAGTTGTATGGATATATGCACATGAATAACTGCTTCCGCACTACTGACCTTGTGATCTCAAAGAGCGCCAGTTTCTCTCAGGAGATTTTTAGACCTCTGAAATCATGTTTTCAGTCTGTAGACATTTCCTTAATCTGTCCTTAAAAAAATGAAATTCACATCTCATTACTGTTAAAATGATACCAATAAACATTCAGAACTTCTGTCAAAGTATTAGTGATGACTTACACACACTCAATAGGACAGTTTGTTTGCAATGAAATCAATTAACATATGAGGAAAAAAATGTTAGAAGACAACATGCGAATCGTGTATAAGTAAGCCACAGAGGTTATTTCACCAAAATATGTAATATAAGAACAATTTAAATTATTACCTCTGTAAGACAGAATATTCCATAAGCAGTAGATCTGCATTTTAAATTAAACACACATACAATCTTTAAGCACATAATTCATATACAAATTTGGTTTCCAGTATGCTGTAGCTACTTTGTAGTGACACAATGAAGTCTGAAAACCTAGAAGGCATCTTTTGCAGAACATGACATAATTTTGTAACAGCAAGGACAATTAAACATTAATCTTGTTTACCAAGGCAGGTGGCAGACTTGCCATCTGTTGAAGTCCTTAAAGTAAGGTTTGATATTTTTCTAAAAAACATTATTGGATTTAGGTTTTGGAAAAGGCATTTGGTCTATACTGCATACTTGTGCATGCGGCTACAGTAAAGCGAGAAGGAAACAATGGCACAAGCCAGCAAGTTTTGGCTTCAGAATTACAGATATCAGTTTGCATCACTTTCCATTCTGGCCCATAACATGTGTGGTCCTGCATTAAAATAATTTCATAATATCATCTTGGTTCAACTTGTGAAAGATCAGAAAGGAATATTCATTTCAACACTTCTGAACGCAGAATCTGGTTTCCATGGTTTGACTGATCATTTTTCACTTTCTTCTGTGGCACTGAAAATTGAGCACAGCTGGAAGTAGGCTCATGCCCAGAAGTAGTACAGAGACACTTCAAGGTGCCTGGGAGGTATTTCATGCCCATAGCTAGTTCATAACGATGTGGTTGTTAAGAGGCTAGGTCCAGAGTCCAGACAGATTTCTGATGATTTTCGTATCTTCCTTCAGCACAGGGCATGCTCTGTTAGCTGTGATTCTCTGGGCATATAACTCATCTCATAAGTTCTCTATCTTTACTACGATTTGAGTGTCAGTGGTACGATGACTGATAAATACTATTCTCTACTTAAAACACACTTAAGATTTTTTTAGCATCAAAATAACTTGAGGAAATAATGTTTTTGATCATGATACCGGAAGTTCAGGTGATAATTAAAGCCTGTAACATACTGCAGACTAGATCAACTCCCAAAGCACTTAGAACTGGCCATTTTTACACAAAGTAATTAATATTTCTTGCTGATACTGCTGCTGCTCTTTTTACGTATCACAATGTTGGCAGATGTGCCTAAAACTCAAACCTTCTAGGGTAAAAAACAAGGTAAAAAAAAAATTTTGTACTTTTTAAGGTATGCAAACAAAAATGGATCAATAGCCCAAAAAAGGGTCAATAGCTGATCTAATAATACATGGGTGAAGTGATGGAGAGTAGCAGCAAGGCAGCATGGACTACACAGAATAGCTTATATGAGCTTCAGAGCAATAAACAGGCCTATTCTTATATTCTTATTCTTAAGCATTGAGAAGAAACGGGGAAGATGGGAGTAATCAGGAGGTGGTTTCAGTATCAGCTGCCAAACGTGTATGATACTGTACATCTGAACTGTGTACCTTTATGTGCTGCCAGTGGGACAGAGAGCAAGGACTGCAGCTATTGGAAGTTATGGACCTATGTATTCCCACCCTAGCCTCAGGTACTCCACCAAACGTCATGTTAGACTCCGACGGCTATGGGAGACAGTTTCAGCGATTAGCAGATGGCTCACAAAGTAATTAGGGAATATATATTTGGTTCAAAACAAATATGCATTCTAGCTTTGCTCTGTCTTTAATTTCTATGAAACTTAAGATTCCTTAACATTACAAAGTACATGAAACAATTCAAAGTAGGACAGGGTTTTATCTAAACATCAACAAAATAACCCAAATGAAAAACCATTACATTTAAATTCTTTTTTGAGAGCCTGTCTTAATAAAACCTTCTGAAAATCCAGGTCTGGCTCATTTATAAGCTATAGCTTGAGACAAATCAGAACATTTAAAGACTTCATTAGACACATGCTCTAGCCTGACGTTTATCTTCTATGTTGATCTTGTTGTGTGAAACATGTATTTAAAATGCCAATTGAAGCTTTATTTCAGATGTCATACATCATCCTCTCCTCTGACTGCTCTTTTCTCCAACAACCTCTGCAGTACATTCTCACTGTGTAAAAATTCTCACTTCCTTAAAGGCAGTGACAAGCTGAAGTTTCTAAAGCCAGAAGCATCTTTAGTATTTACTCAAAGCCCAATAGTTCGAGTAACTTTATTCATACAGAAGCCTAGTGACTTGAAATGTTAGTCAAACATATAAATTTCTGCAAATTGGCCTTCCAGTGCAAGCCATTATAGACCATACACTAGAAGCTATACAAATAATATATTATAATAACACTCTGTAATTAAATTGTGTTATCTTTTTCCTAAGAACACATAATTAAACATGACAGAAAGGCTGAAATTTCTATTAACTTCAGATAGCAGTGTAACATGGAAATATCTCTGCTCCAAGATTTGTGTCAATTCCACACTAATCACTCAAAACTAAAAATACTATTTGAGTAAAACAATGAGCAAAAGATGAAAAACAGCAGTAGAAATCAATTAAAATAGATGTGGCTCCGAAAAAAAAAAAAATCACAGAAACTTTATCATTTTTTGGTAAAATGTAGGTCACTTACTGTTTCCATAGTAACCACTGCTGAACTATGGCTCTACAGATGACCATCGCCTATAGCTGCTCTCTTTGATAATAGGTGATATACAAGTACAGCTGTCTCAGTTACAATACAAAAGAGGTTTACCTTCAAACGTAGCTCCTCTCTAACATTTTCAAAAGTATCCCCTAATATCCTTGTATAGATAACCTAGCTATTCAGTTGGAAAAATATAAAAATTGATTTACTGTGCTAAAAAAAAAAAAAACCTACCATTGCCTACAACCCAAGTGTGGAGCCTCAAAAACAGAGGCAATCACCTTTAGAAGAAATTGTGAACACGCAAAATATTTATACAGAGCAATCCACTAAACATCAGTAGCACAGAAAGCTCAAAAAGCATTCACACTAGCTTAAACCACCTTTGACAAGCGCACAGTCAGGTCTGTGACGGCATATTCAGTACATTCATTGCAAGTGGGAGTTTATGGGTTGGCACATTATCTTGTACACAAACACATACTGAAATTCAGTAATACAACAAGGCTAGAATCACAGGTAACAACAGCTACTGCCTCGTTTGGGAGGAAATAGTAGAGTCCAGAGGCAATCTGACAGTGAAAACCCTTTTTTCACCACTATTACTCTGGGGCATATAGAGTTGAAGATTAATTCATTAAAAGACAAAGACTTCACGTTACAAAAAGACACTAACAGCTTTGATAGCGAACTAGAAAAGAGCAGGACAGCTCAGTATCCTTGAGGACTGCTAAATGGCTTTCCTCTTCTAGAGTAGGGTCATTTTATTATGTGAATTCAGACTGAACCAGCTACTTACCCACTATCCAACTACTTTTTAACAGGTATTGTGAAAACTCTGAATTAAAGGCTCTGAGGTCTGGACATGCCTCAATGCTGTTAGTGCTACAAATATATTGTGGTATGGTAGTATCAGTATCCATATACACAATCAAAATACCAAAGATACTACAAGTTCAGCGAGTAGAAAAATGACTATTAATAGTGTTGAATAGCATTGAGGAGAGGTTTTTTTGGGGTTTTTTTTGTTTTTTTTTTTTTTAAAACCAGGCTCAGAATCTTAAATACTACAATTACTGGCATTATATGCTTTTCTGAGATTAACTGGGTAACATCTTGGCACCTGCCAACTTCAGCAGCATAGCTGACAAAAAGATAAGACGCTTCAGCTGCCATTGCCAGAAGTGCAAATCACTGACTCCCACACAGAACGTGGCCTTGAAAGACAGTACTGCTAATGACGAACTGGGTCATAAATTGTTTTCTGAAGTTCGGACAGACTTCAAATGAGAGCAATAGTCATATTTTGCATCTTTTTAATATCTCTGTTTAAAAGCAAACATATTTCCAAGAAAGGCAAAATCTTTCCCAAGTTTCTACAAGCACAGCTCTTACAGCTCTACCTTGCAGTTTGTTTCTCTTACTGTATAACTTGCATACTTTGGTTCTTAATGTAGGACTTTACTGTACCTATTTCTGATGACTCAAAGCTCTCCCTAGGAAAACGTTCCAAAATGACAACTAAAAATAAGTAATTAACTCCCATGTTTCAGGAAGGCCTATCTATGTCCATATTTCCCTAGCTTAAAGAACGTATTCCTTGCATTTATATAGGCAATCTGCAGCAGAACTGGGGATAAAGGTCACAACACTGGACTTTCAGTCCCCTATGTTTATACGTTGCAAGGAAACAACTGCAAAATTGCATTGTTATACCTTAGATACAGCACATCCTAAAGGTAATTTTTTTCAGATTTAATTTCCTATTGCTTTCATTCATCTCTCATTTATTTTGGTATCTGTGTAACCTTGCCCCTGCCATCCCACTTGTGCAACACAGGTAGAAGAATGCACCTTCTTACCACAGTACTGATACTTTAGATGGTAGGGTCCTCAGGAACACAGATGTGATCCTCATATTTGTTTAAAGTGCTAGACCTAAGAAGCCACTAATGGTGAACAATACAACTTTATTGCATCATCTTGTATTCAGCAGATACTACTAAAATAACGAGCGGATAATCAATAATAAGAAGGTAACCCATCTTCCTGCAGTGACTTCCTGTAATTGCAACACAACTGACTCAATTGTTCTACGCAAATAAAACACCTACTCCTACTTAAAGCTCCACTTCTTTCAATGAAAACTGACCACAAAAAATAAAAAAGCCTCAGGCAGCAGAACCCAGGAAGGGGAAATAGTCCATCATG